TTCAATCTCTTTAATGAATGTCATTGGAATTTTGATGGGAATTGCATTAAACATGTAGATTACTTTGGGGAGTATCGACATTTTTACTATGTTGACACAATAGATTTTCAATATTTTGTTCTCTAAGGATGCAATGTGCATAGAAAAAGAAAACTTGGCCTTTTCAATAAAAAAGATAAGGATCTAAATTCCAATTCTGCCATTTATTACTTAGGGGGCAACTCTGAACCTCAGTGTCTACAAATATTAAATGAAATAGTAATACTACATGGGAGCCATGCATAGTGGCTCAAGCCTATCATCTCAGCTATGTGGCAGCCTGGGCATAAATGTGAGATCCCATCCTAAAAATAAGTAAAGCGAAAAGGACTGGAGGCATGGGTCAAGTAGTAGAGTGCCTGCCTAGGAAGCATAAGGCCCTGAATTCAAACACACACACACACAAACACAAAAAAAATCTCATGGAGATGCTATTAAGATTAAATGAAATGCCTGCTGTGCAGTCTGTAATCCTGTCCCAGAATTCAGGAGACTGAGGCAGGAAGATTGAGTTTGAGGCCAGCTTAAACTACAAAGCAAGACCCTGTCTCAAACAAGCAAACAAACAAAAATATTGAATGTGGGGGCTGAGGTGTAATTCAGTGGTGGAGTGCTTGCCCAGTATTTGTAAGGTCCTGAGTTCGATCCCTAACATTGCAAAAAAAAAGAAAAAATTAAAATGAGATTATACCTGCCTGACATATAACAAGAACTCAATAGAGTTGGTTACTATTATCGTTATAGAGAAATGCATCTGCATGGTCTGGGACTTACCATCTTGGAGTCTTCATATCCTTAAAATAAATATTTTTTTCTTTGACTAAGGCAATAATACCCACAGTTGATAAGTTTGAGTATGTGTCAGCCACAGGTGAGAGATTCTAACAGAATGGGCTGAGGAGCTGGCAGCGTAGCTCAAGTAGTAGAGTGGCTGCCTTAGCAAGGGTGAACCCCTGAGTCAAACCCCAGTACCACCAATAAGTAAATAAATAAATTTTAAAAAAGAATGGGCTGATACTTTGCAGGAAGAGTATGGCCTGCAGTTCAACACTCAATTTCAGCTTTGTTAAAGTTATTTCATAGTACTAATTCTTCTACTTGTTATTCAGCATTTATAAGGCATATCCAAAGTGCTATAGGTACTATAAGACATTTAAAAATCCTGCCGGGCACTGGTGACTCACACCTGTAATCCCACCTACTCAGGAGGCAGAGATCAGGAAGATCGCAGTTCAAAGCCAGCCTGGGCAAATAGTTCACGGTATCCTATCTTGAAAAATAATCCTCCACAAAAAAGGGCTGGTGGAGTGGCTTAAGGTGTAGGCCCTGAGTTCAAACCCCAGTACTGAAAAAAAAAAAAAATCCAGTTCCTGGGCTCATGAGGAAGCTCTCATTTTTGTGGTGCTGGGGTTCAAACTCAGAGCCTCACACATGCTAGGCAAGTACTCTGCCACAAAGCTACATCCCCAGCCTGACTCTTTTATTTTTATTAGCCTCCAATTTTTTCATTTTAATTACTATTTTCTTCTGAATACAAAAATATAAATGTGTCAGGTGTATGGCGCATGCCTGTAATTTGAACACTTTGGAGACTAAGGCAGGAGGATCTAGAATCAAAGGCCAGCTTGGGCTACATAGCAAGACCAATGGTATCACACTTAGTAGTGTGATTCTGACTATACTCTAACATTTACTCTCTCTTGCTCAAACATCTCTTCTGACTTGGAAGGCAACATAATCCTAGTCTACTCGACAGAAAGTTAACTGACTTTATGAGACCCTAGAACTATGTGGGTCCCAAGGTCTATACAGGATTTTCTTTTCCTTCCTTCCTTCCTTCCTTCTTTCCTTCCTTCCTCTCTCCCTCTTTTCTGGTGGCACTGGGATTTGAACTCAGGGCCTTGTTCTTGCTATGCAGGTACTCTACCACTTGTGCTATACCTGCAGCCCTATATAGAGATTTCTGCTGTGGCACTTGTCCTTTGGGAAATAGTTACCTATTACTTCTCTTTTTTTTTTTTGGTAGGACTGGGGTTCGAACTGAGGGCTTCATGCTTGCAAAGCAGGTGCTTTACTGCTTTAGCCACACCACCAGTTCATTTCGCTCTAGTTATTTTGGAAGTGGGCTGACTGGAACCATAATCCTCCTGATCACAGCCTCCCAAGTAGCTAGAATTACAGCTGTGAGCCATTGTTGCTGAGCTTTTAATATTATTTCTTTAGGTTCTACTTATAGATATTTCAAATAAGAGTTTTATTGACATAGAATTCCTATACCATTCAATTTGCTTATTTAAAGTGTATAAGTTAATGGATTTTAGCATAATCACAGACATGTATAACCACCAACAATCCGTCCACGTCCCCCCGTCCCCGGCCCCCGCTTTTTTTGAAACAGGGTTTCCTTATGTAGGCCACGCTGGTCTCACTTGTGATCTTCCTGCCTCAGATTCCTAAGTGCTGGGATTACAGGTGTACCACCAAACCTGGCAACAGTTTTGCAGCATTTTCATCACCTCAAAAAGAAATCCTGTTCCTTTTAGCTATTACCCTCCATCTCCATCCTCTGGCCTTCAAAGACCACCATTCTTCTTTTGGTCTCTATAGACATATAAATGGAGTCATATAATTATTTTGTGATTGGTCCTGCACTTAATGTGTTTTTAAGGTTTATCCACATTATCAGTACTTCATTCCTTTTTTTGTTTGTTTGTTTTGGTGGTATTGGGGTTTGAACTCATGGGCCTCAACATTTGCTAGGCAGGCATTCTACCACTTGAGCCACTCCGCCAGCCCTGCTTTTGTGATGGGTATTTTCTAGATAGAGTCTTTGAAAACTATTTGCCCCAGCTGGGCTGACTTTGACCCACTATCCTCCTGATTTCTGCCTCCTGTCACTGGCACCTGGGTTCCAATTTCTTCATATCCTTATCAACACTTGCTATTGTCTGAGTTTGTTTTTAGCCATCCTAGTGGATGTTAAGTATAGGTTTAATTTGCATTTTCCTGATAACTAATGACGTCAAATATCTTTTCATGTGCTTTGGGCCTTTTGGATTATTTTCTTCAGAGAGATATCTACTTAAGACCTGTGTCCATTTTTTAATTAGGTTGTCTTTTTATTATGGAGTTACAAGAGTTCTTTGTACATGCTGGATACAAGCCCCTTACCATTACTTCATTTTAGAATTTTTTTTTGGTGAGACTGGGATTTGAACTCAGGGCTTTGCGCTTGCAAAGCAGGGATGCTCTGCTGCTTGAGCCACACCTCCAGTCCATTTTTCTCTGGTTATTTTGGAGATGGAGTCTCGAGAACTATTTGCTGGGGCTGGCCTCTGTGATCCTCCCGATCTCAGCCTCGCTATAACTAGGATTATAGGCCTGAGCCACCACTGTCCAGCTCCATTATGTCATTTTAATTAGCTTAAATTTATACAGACACATATTGCCAGGCCCACATCTGTAGCCCCAGCACTGGGGATGTTGAGGCAGAAGGATCGTGAGTTTGAGAACAGCTTGGACTGCGTAATGAGACCCTGACTGACAAAAAAATGAAGTAAAAAAACTCAATTGCTCAGTCTAATTATTCTCACTTCTCATCTCTATGGCCACATGTGGCTTGTAGCTACAGAACAGATACAGGACATTTCCATCATTGTAGGAAATCTTATTCGACAGCACAAACCTAGATCATTGTGTCCCCACAGAAGATGGTGCCAGTTGGGATACCCCGCAACCCTGAGTATGAATTAATTAGTTGGAATTAACTACCAATACCTGACAGGACTCCTATGGATAGGTCTGATCTGGACAACTCCACTGTATCTATGGCATTGACGATCTACCTGTTGAATCTGTCTGTAATAGGAACAATAGTGAGGTTTGGACTGCTAGGTTCTCTGGTTACCATGGAAATGAGGGTGCTGGTTACACTTCTGTGTAATCGTGGAGATTAAAGTGTCAAGATCCCTTGCTTTCCTGCCCCTTTGTATAACCATGACCATTTCTGTTGCGTTTCCTGCATATCCCTGGCACCAGGAAAAGCAAATAGAAATCTGAGTAAGAATGGGGTGTCAGGATGCAAGCCCTAATGAGGAAGTGTGAAAAAAGAAACATGGCGGGGCCGTTTTTCAGTAGCAAAAGGCCAGATCTACTAAATGGAATACAATGACATTGTTACTCTTGATAGTTGCACAGGCGCGATGCAGGAGTTCTCAGATCCCGCCTATTTGCGAATATTCTCTTTTCTCTCTCTCCTTTTCTCTTCTTTCCTTTCCCCCCTCCCACCACTAGGTCTTTCAGTCTTTCGGTTAGTCCGTTTATGTCTCTCCTTCCGACCTCCGCCTCTCCCGCCCTCTACCTCTTTCTTCCCCTCCCCCTTTCCTTTTCCGTCTCCTGCGCACCGCCGCTAGTGCATGCGCGTAGGGTAAAAAGCCTCGCTCTTTGTCCCCCATCTGTCGTTCACACGAACTCAAGTCTTTGGCATTCGGTAGCCAATAGAATCTAAGAAATGGAGGAAAAATGATTCCGCCTCTGGAGCTAAACCTTGATTGGCAGTTCAGTTATCCAATCGAGAGCAGCACTTCGTACCCCTTGGGAGGCACCGAGCTCCGTCGTCTCGTTTCCGGCGGTCGCGCGCTCTTTTCTCGGGACGGTAGAGGCCGTGTAGCGTCGCCGTTACTCCGAGGAGAGAACTGTTGGTACGGGGTGAGTTTTGGGACCGCTTGGTTTTTGGTTAGGAGTGGAGTGGGGTTTCTTGCGAAGATCCTCGAGGGAAGAAGCTAGGGTGGGGCTAGGTTTGGAGAGAGGATGTTCTTTGGAACCTTGCGGCCTTGTCTCCGCAAGCACACGGCCTCAGCCCACCCGCGGGGGCCCAGCGCTCTCAACTCGCCTTGGGCTTTCATCGGTCCCCCGTTTCCTTTCCCGCCCTGTTCCTTTGTGCGACTCATTCCTGAGTCTTAGCCATGTCACTAAGTTCCCGGCCTGTGAGACGCCTTGGGCCTGAGGGTGTGGGGTCTATTATGTGAGAGCCCTGAAGTCGTGGTTGGAGGAGGAGGAGGTGCTTTGTCGGACGCTCCTCCTCCCGGCCCCGCGAGGCCATTAATTCAGAATGGGCCAGTGGGGCCCCTGAAGCGGTGTTTCTTTGTCAAAACTCTTAACTGGGAAGTTCCTCTGCTAGTTCAGACCCCAAGGCTCTCGCAGTGGGCTTCTTTAACGTCTATTTTTTAGTCTTGCTTCCAAGCTTTTCGAGCCATTTATGGCATCACTTTTCTAAATGAAACTTAAATTTATGGCTTTCCCTTCGAGTATTTTCCACTTAGAGAAAGTCTTTTGTAAGCTGACACCTTTCTTTGTGTTTTTAACAGAGAAGTCGGAGTTAGAGAGGACTGGGAGGCACTTCGCTGTCTTCAATCGTTGAGGTAGGTGTAGGGGATGAAGTACAGGGCGCCCAGTTGATAGAATTCACAAAGACAACGAATTAGTATTTGTACACTTTGCATGGTACTTAATGCTAAACTTTTAAAAATCTGAAATTAAAATTTAACTTGAGTTGTCTATTTTCTTTGCTAAATCTGGCAACTCTTGCGGGGGGGGGGCAGTGACTACATTTATATTGTGTTTGTACAACTTTGTTATTAAATGAAAGGTCTTAAGAAACTTAGAACAGGACCTTACCATGTCTGCATTTTACAGCTTTCAGGCTGGCCATCCAGGTGGCCATCTCAGTCTGGTAAATTTACAGCAAACTTTTTCAGCGATTTACACTTAACAATTCGACCTTTTTCATGAAAATCGAGGAAACATTTGTTTAGATTTCAGATATGTGTGATTAGTGTTTGTCCTGTACCCAAAACATTTATGCAGTTTTATCATGCTCAATAGCCACAGTCTTTTTAAGCCATGGGGACATATTTTCTCTCAAGGTTCTTCATCAGGGTTAGTCCTAAGGACAGATAAATAGACAGAAATTCTTGCTACTGATCTTTGTGATCTCTTTTCAGAGGCCCAATAATTACGGGGCAGTGAATTTATTACTCAGATTTCTGCACTTCCAAAATGATACTGGTGGTCATTATCATCAGTAGGTGATAGTAAGAAATACTTTTTTTTTTTAAATATAAAGAGATTTTATTTGCTCTTTTTTTTTTTTTTTTGGTGGTACTGGGCTTTGAACTCGGCCTCACACTTGCTAGGCAGGCGCTCTGCCACTTGAGCCATTCCACCAACCCAAGAAATACTTCTTGAGTACTTGGTACTTTGTGGGCACTGTATACAGTAGTACTTTATGTGCTTCATACAGTGTTGCTTAATCTTCCATCAGTGAATGCTTGCTTGGGGGAAGACTACAAGGAAGGTACAGATTAAAAAGACTAGTATTATGGGGACATTTATTCAAAAACACAAAGGTAGGCAATTTGGTTATTAAGAATTCTTTGTTAGAATCTAGAAGAGTGGAAAGAATGTAATTGACATTTGTTTAACTGGAGCATCCACCATATGTGGAAACGGGGGAGGTTGCCTTCAGGAAAAAGTGCTTGCTTTGTTCCTGGATGAAAGTGTACATTATCTCATTTAGGCCTTAAAATAACCAGCCTTGAGGTAGATAACTATTACCTTCATTGTACAGGTGAGGGAATAGGCTTGGACCTTTTTTAATTTGTTAAAATAGTATAATTTCCCTGTCTCATCTATACTGTCTCAAAGTTAGATGACACAATCAATGAGTTTGTTGGAGTTTAAACTGAAATGAGGTGCATTTGTAGCATAGTGAGGAGTGAATTTTAGATTCAACAAACCTGGATTCAGCTCCATCATACTTACCTTGGATGGTTTCCTCATCCAGAAGAATAATAGTTTTGAGCACTAAATGAGATAATGCAGGCTTAGCACACAGCCTGGATTTTAATGGTATTACCTTAACTTGCAGGTTGCACTTGCGTTTTGGGTTTTTTTTTTTTTTTTCTCAGTACTGCGGTTTGAACTCAGGGCCTACACCTTGAGCCAGTCACCAGCCCTTTGTGATGGGTTTTTTCGAGATGGGGTCTGGAAAACTATGCCTGGGCTGGCTTTGAACTGCCATCCTCCTGATCTCTGCCTCCTAAGTAGCTAGGATTATAGGCGTGAGCCACTGGCACCCAGCTTAGTACAAATTTTTTTAGAGGGCTATAATGCTAATTCGTAACCTGAGTGGCTATTGTGAAGGGGATGACTATTTACAGTACCATCTATATGATGGATTATTACGTAAAGGCTGGCTTGGAACCTTGATCCTCCTGATTTCTGCCTCCTGACAGATTGCACTTTCTCAAACCAAAATACAACTTACCTTCAAGTAAATGGTTTAGAACATCTTAACATTTTGCATCTAGGTCTTTATCCTCTAGGAGGTAGATCATTTTTACTAGGAAGTTACGGTTAATGTGGTAAACACAGAGTTTTGTATATTTAAATTTTGCATGGATCCCTGTAGATCTCTGTTAATATGTAATGTATATTATATATATATATAATATATATAGTAGATTTTTTTTTCTTATTTGGTAGTACTGGGTTTGAACTTAGGGCCTCATGCTTACAAGGCAGGCGCTATACCATTTTAGCTACAACTTCAGCCCAACCAGCCTTTTTTGTGTTGGTTTTTCTTTTTCTTTTCTGTTTTTGAGAAAAGGTCTTGCTTTTTGCCTGGACTGGCAAGTACTACTCCCAAGTACTAGCTAGTATTACAGGTGTGAGCCCCTGGCGCCTGGCTGTTGTGGATTCCTGAAAGTGATACAAGCTACTGAGTCAGGAACAACTAATTCCTAATTTAAAAGACTGGAGGGGAAAAGTTCCTTGGATTCTGAACTTAGGTAAGAACTAGTGGGAGAAATGACTGAGGATAACCCAAGTTTCTGTCATTGGTCACTTTGGGGCTGTAGGAAGGGAGATATTTAATACTTGGGATTCAAATAGGAAAAGATTTGATTCTAATGCCCCTCTTACTCCATCCTCAACTAGAGTGGATTTTAGATTTTGCATCTTTAATTCTCTACTCTTATATCTTGTTTTAACGAATTATTTATTTATTTATTTATTTTGAGACAGGATCTTGCTGTGTAGCCCAGGCTAGCCTCAAACTACCTGCCAGCCTTCCCAATACTGGCATTACAGGTGTGAGCCACCACACCTGGCTTCTATCTTTTTTTTTTTTTTTTTTTTTTGCCGTACTAGGGTTTGACCTCGGGGCTATACCTTGAACCACTCTTTTTTGTGATGGATTTTTTTCCAGATAGGGTGGAAAAAAATTTCCACCTGACTAGCTGCAAACCAAGATTCTCCTGACCTCTGCCTCCTAAGTAGCTAGGATTACAGGCCTGAGCCCCCAGCACAAAGCATATATCTTACTCTTAAAACATGATTTCCTTTAAAAAAAAAAAAGATAATCCCATTTTCCCATTTGTCATTCAACTGCTATACCTGTTCATGGCATTTAATGTTGTTACAACAACCTTTTGAGAAAATTGTTACATTCATTGGCAAGAGTTACCAAAGATTCTTGATTTTTTTTTTTTGTCTACTGGGATTTGAACTCAGGGCCTTGGCACTAGAACTTAGTATTACTAAGCAGACACTCTGCCACTTGAGCCACAACAGTCCTTTTTTTCTTTGAAATTACTGGTTTTGCATATACCAGTAGTTCATTCTTTTTTATTTATTTATAATTTTTTTTGTGGTAGTGGGGTTTGAACTCAGGTTTTGTGTTTGCTGGGTACTCTGCCAGTTAGTGAGCCACTCCAGAAGTTCAAGAGTTGCAAAGATTCTGTTTAAGAATTTATCTTAGGACTGGAGCTGTGGCTCTAGCAGTAGGATGCCTGCTTTGCAAGCAAAAAGCCCTGAGTTCAAACCCCAGTCCCAGCAACAAAAAAAAAAAATTATTTTAAGAAAATAACTAAATAGAAACAGAAAGCTAAAAAAGCAAGAAGACATTTACTGTAGGATTGTAATAGGAAAAAGCTGAAACCATAAATGTCTCCTAATAGAGAGTAATTATAGTAAATTAGTGTACATGCAAATGGACTTTATGTAGCCATTTAAAATTATGTTGATACTTCAAAAATGAGGAAAAACTGAACATACAATGGTGCATTATGAGTTAAGTTACTGAAATGATAATGTTTGTCTTAGAAGGCAAATAAGTGAAAATGGAAATTGTAGGAAGAGTATCTAATTGTGGATATATCTAAAGATCTCTCTGTACATTGGTTATAATGGTGGAAAATTAGAAACAACCTATGTATCCAATGCACTAGGGGCTTGGTTGACAGCTGAATACTGTGTCCGTTAACAATTAATATAAACGATTTAATAGCCTGAAAGCTGTTCATTATGTATCATAAAGAAGAAATGCTGGACTGGAGGTGTGGCTCAAACCTTAGAGTGCTTGCTTTGCAAGTGCGAGGCCTTGAGTTCAAATTCCAGTCCCACCAAAAAAGAAAGAAAACGAAGAGCTGGGCCTGTGATCCTAGCTACTCAGGAGGCAGAGATCAGGAGAATCTGGTTCGAAGCCAGCCCAGGGCAGATAGTTCCCAGACCCTATCTGGTAAAAACTCATCACAAAAATGGACTAGTGGAGTGGCTGAAGTGGTAGAGTATCTGGCTAGCAAGCATGAGGCCCTGAGTTCAATCCCCAGTACCACCAAAGGAAAAGAAAAAAGAAGTAGTTTTTATAATATGCACTTTAAAATACATAATAATGACTAGAAAGGTATACCAAAATGTTACAGTGACTATTAGTGGTGAGTCCATGGGTTTTAATTTTATTTTTGTTTTTATTTCTGTTTCCTGTATTAAAATTTTGCAGTAAGTGCTTTATTGTAATTTCTGGTACTTTGTAACATTAATGAGAAACATGAGATTGATGAAGTGATAAGAGAAAGCTCAAGTCTTGACTTAAATGTCAACTCATGGCTCTATCAGCCTCCTTCCATTCTCTATCTACTTTACATGCCCTCATATTTCTTTATTTTCCCATGACACTTACTCAAGTACTGTGTAACTAGCTTATCATGTATATTATGTCTGTCACTAGAAGGTAATCTCTTGAAGGCAAGAATCTGCTTTGTCCACTAATCCATCTAGAATAGCACCTAGCAAATAGGCATTTAGTACATACTTGTTAAATGAGTTAGTAAGATAAAAAGTTATCAGTAACATAAGAGCAAGGCAATTGTTTTCATTTTTGCATACCTTCAGTTCCTGTCTACTTTCACACATTCATAAAAACTTTACCCCTTCAGAGTATCAAACATCTTTCATGTTTACACAGTCTTAATACAGTGCTAGGAATTAAATCCAGGGCCTTGTGCATGTGAGCTGTACCCCTGAGCTCCATTCCAGCCTTGTCTTCATAATTTTAATGCTGTGTAATATCCCATTGTATAGCTGTACCATAATTTAATATCAGCCATTCCTTTTAATTTTGGATATTTTCGTCATTTTTATTTATTTGCAGTACTGGGGTTTGAACTCAGGGCCTATACCTTGAGCCACTCACCAGCCCCTTTTTTTTTTTTTTTTGTGATGGTTTTTTTTTTTCGAGATAATCTTGAGAACAATTTACTCTGGCTGACTTAAAACTGCAATCCTGATCTCTTCCTCCTGAGTAGCTAGGATTACAAGTGTGAGATGCCTGGCATTTAGTCATTTTCATTGTTTTGTCACCATAAAGGCCAGTGTTTTCATGGACATAGTTTTAATTTTTCTTGGGATAAATTTGTAGTAGAATTCCTGAGTTAAAGGAGTATAAATTGTTTATCTTTTTTCCTTTTTTTGGGTGTTAACTTGGATTTAAACTGAGGGCTTTGGGGCGTTCTACTGCTTGAACCATTCCTCCAGCCCTTTTTCATTTTTTAGTAGGGAGTTTCATTGTGATAATCCCATAGATAAGTACAGTATACGTTGAACAAGTTTACCCCCTAGAAGAGTATATCTTGGTAGCTCTTGTTTTAGTAAACAGTTTTGCATACAAAATTTGATAATTGCATTGGTGTTTTTAGTTTTAGTGAGATGATATAAAGTGTATTGGGAAAGCTATTTTTTTTGGAAGGACTGGGGTTTGAACTCAGGGCTTCACAGTTTGGAAAGCAGGCACTCTATCACTTGAGCCACACCTCCAGTCCGTTTTTGCTCTGGTTATTAGGCAATAAGGTCTCAAACTTATCTGCCCAGGCTGGCCTCAAACTTCAGTCCTTCCAATGTCAGCCTCCCAAAGTAGCTAGTATTACAGGCATGAGCCACTGGTGCCCAGTTTTGTCTTAATTCTTTTACTGGAGAACTATCCTTGGACGAGGAAGGTGGTCTTTTTTTGTGTGGGGAGGGATAGTATTGAAGTTTGAACTCGAGGCCTTGTGCTTGCTAGGCAGGCACTCTTAACACTTGAGCTAGGCTCCCAAACCTTTTTGCTTCAGTTATTGTTCAGATAGGCCCTCGTGTTTTTGCCCTTACTGACTTTGGACCATATATGCCTCCCGTATACTTGGGATGGCAGGCATGCGTCTTGTCCAACTAATTAATTGAAATTGAACTGTGATCTTCCCCATTTCTGCCTCCTGGGTAGCTGGGATTATAGCTATAAGCCACCCTACACAGTGGTCCTGTTTTAAAACCTAATTAGTTAGAAAATTTTTATTTTAAGATTCAACTTTTGGGCTGATGGAATGGCTCGAGTAGTAGAGTATCTTCCTAGTGAGGCCCTAAGTTCAAACCCCCAGTAGTTACCAAAAAGAAAAAAAAAAAAGGTCAACTTTAGTTTTAGTGTCTGGATTGTGCCAGAAATTTTTATTTGCTTTTACTCTTAAGGCAGTCTTTTTTTTTTTTTTTCTTTTTCTTTTTGATGAGACTGGGTTTGAACTCAGCTTCTTGCTTGCAAAGCAGGTGCTCTGCTGCTGGGGCCACATCTCTCCAGTCCATTTTGCTCTAGTTATTTTGGAGATGGGGTCTCTTGAACTATTTGCTTGGGCTGGCCTTGAACTTTGATCCTCCTGATCTTAGCCTCCCAAGTAGCGAGGGTTACAGGCCAGCCTGACTTAAGGCTATTTTTTTGGTGGCACTGGAATTTCAACTCAGGGCCTCACTAAGACTGTTTTTTATTATTTATTTATTTGTTTAAAGACTTTTTTAAATGAAAGAAATTAGCATTGTTCATCTTTTTCTATTTGCTTTGGTAGTCATATATTTTTAGGTCACTATGTATCTTTTCACTACTTTTCACCTTGTCTTTCATTTCTTAATGAACACTTAATATATGCCAGAAATGAGTTGGTGTTTCACATATTTGTTAATTCTTATAGCCACTCTAAGAGATGGGTATTTTTTATTCATTTCATTTTTAAAAATTTTCTTTAATTGTTTATATATATTTATTCATATGTGTATAACATTGTTTGGGCCACCTCTCTTCATTTTTTTTTTTCTTGGCAGTACTGGGGTTTGAACTTAGGGCTTCACAGTTGCTAGACAAGTGCTCTGCTGCTTGAGCCAGGCCACCAGCCCTTATCCATTCCTTGAAAACAGCTGAAGAAACAGATACAGAAGTAATTTACTATGTAGCACATGGCTAGTAACTTTTAGGACCATGATTCAAACCTAAGTAAGTCTAACCCGTACTTTTCCTACTGTTGGTTTTACAGTATGTACTGTGGACTTTAGGACTGCTAGGTGTTAGAGAAGAAAAAGACTCTTTAGTCTTTGTCTTTGCAAAGACTTAGAACTGTTTTAGCTGATGTGGTATTAAAATGTTCTTTAATATGTGACAGGGCCTACTTTCAGGGAGTAAATTCTTTTTGAGACAGGGTCATTCATGCTGTATAGGTCAGGGTGTTCATTAATGTGTAGTATTGAAGTGGAAGGTGTATTAAGTCATTGTAGTGCAAGTTCTTATCCAGTACTTTGTAGTTGTTTATATGTATATTTTTGAGTGCTAGGGATTGAACTCAGGGTGCCTTACATGTATTTTTAGATTTTCAAATTGTACTTCTTTACCCAACTTGTTCAAAGTAACCCATTGTTTAGATCTGGCAAAAACCAGACTACCAAAAGTGAGTGATGACATAAGTTATCAGGAAGGTGACTGCAACCTTAGCACTGGATGTATTTGTTAGTCCACTCTTTTCTTTTTAGGGTGAAAAAATGCAGAGCAATAAAACCTTTAGCTTGGAGAAGCAGAACCATACTCCAAGGAAGCATCATCAGCATCACCACCAGCAGCACCACCAGCAGCAACAGCAGCAGCCGCCACCGCCAATACCTGCAAATGGGCAACAGGCCAGTAGCCAAAGTGAGTAGATGCTAGGTGATGGGTAGAAATGGGTTCCCTCTTGGGAATAGTTTCTTGGTTGTTTAGATGAGTCTTTTGGGATTATAAACCCTTTATGACACAGCTTTGTTCTTTTTCCTATTTGCCTCTTAATACCTCTTAAGATTGAGAAGTACTGATTGCCATAAAGCAAGGAGCAGAAGTATGATGGGGTGGAATATATCTGTGTTGGCACATTCCACTGCTGAACAGAGGTCTCTGTTTTACCTCAGTTTGGTTCTTAAAGATGATCATTCATCAGACTATACACCAACTCGTTAAGGCTTAGGGGAGAGATCTGATACTAAATATCATACTTTCACAGTCCCCAGGTGAAAAGTATGATAAAAAGTCTTTGAATGTATGTTTCCACTCATTCAGTAAACTTTGATTACCTCTAAGTCTAGAAACAATCCAAAACTTCCTACAAAGAATATTCATTTCTTTTCATTCCATTGCCCTAAACCTGAAAGAATCAAGGTTGTGAAGATGGGTGAGCGATTAGGAAAATGGAACAATTGTGTTTTTACATTTTAAAATGTGATTTTTTTCTGACATAAGACTCCTTAAATTGCTTATAGCTCCTGTATTGTCTCTGGTTTAGCCCAGCTTGGTTCCTGGCCCACAGTAGAGCTATTGAGAAGTTCCCCCAGATCCTCTGCACACTGCTTTCACATTCTAAGGTGCAATTTACTGACAAGCGTTTTAATGAATAGGTTGCATTGGGAAATGGAGTTTGCCTTCTCTACAGTAATTGTTTTCTTTCTAGCAGCAGTTTAGAGATCATTGAGGATATGACTTTAATTCTCTTTCCCAATTTTTGAGTGACTCTGTTTTTTCTCAGATGAAGGCTTGACTATTGACCTGAAGAATTTTAGGAAACCAGGAGAGAAGACCTTTACCCAACGTAGCCGTCTCTTTGTGGGCAATCTTCCCCCTGACATCACTGAGGAGGAAATGAGGAAACTCTTTGAGAAGTATGGGAAGGCAGGAGAAGTTTTCATTCATAAGGATAAAGGCTTTGGCTTTATTCGCTTGGTGAGCAACTGTGGGCTTTGGGACATGTGATTTACAAGGTTGGGAAGCCAGGGAAGGATGGGTGTGGAAAACAAGGTAGTGGAGATAGACACAAACTTGTAGTTGATGAAATTGGATAAAAATGAAGATTTTAATTTTTTTCCCTAAGCTAAAATATGCCCTTTTTTTCCTTTTGAGACAGGATCTTGCTATGTAGACCAGACTGGCCTTTAATTCACAATTCTGCCTCAGCCTCAAGTGCTTTGGTTGCACCACTGCCCTGGTTGCATTTTTTTGTCTTATTAATACTATTATTATTTGGCTGTATTGGGGTTGGAACTTAGGCTTCAGGCTTTGCTTTTGGCAGGCAGGCTCTTTATTGCTTGAGCCACACCCCAGCCCTCTCTCTCTCTCTCTCTCTCTCTTTTTTTTTTTTTTTTT